GGCACCCAACACAATGCCTGGCTATTTTTTTGTTGTCATTGTTCTTTAGCAGGCCATGGGCCGGGTTCAAACCCACCAGCCCCAGTGTATCTGGCCTGTGCCATAACCATTGAGCTATGGGTGCCAAGCCCACCCTATACTTTTTAGGGAACAGGTGACATCTCTTTTCTCCCGAGTTGTAGGACCACATGTCTTTGCAAGCTCCCTTTACCTAAGGGAGCACCAGTCCAGGTGGTTCTGGGCCTGGGCTGACTCAGACATCAGATGAACAGCACCAGGCAGACAGAGAACTGAAGTCATCACAGAACCACCAAAACAGGCCAGGGCACATCCAAGACCCTTCTGGGAGTCTGACCAAGATAAGTGGAAGAGGGGTTGGTGAGGTTTCATGTGCTAACCCCATTTTTGGCCCACTTTGTTCTACTTCACTGGACTCTGAGAGAAGGGTCAGCCCCTTCTGCTTGAACCCCAGGTTACCTGGTCAGATTTATTCAGACAGCTGCTTGCTCAAAGACTATCCCAACCAATGTTTCCAGTTTAGAAGCTTTGGGGCTGTATCTCCTCCCCTACAAAATGTTCCTCAAAGTAGAAAGAGAAAAGGAGGGAAAAGCAAAGTGCTCTGACCTGAAATGGGACAGTGGTCCTCCTTCAAGTATATTTGTCCAGGACAGCCTGGCCATCAGCCTAGACGGGCCTAGTGCCTGATGTAGGCTAGAGCAGAGAACCAGTCAGACTCACCCTAGAAAGGAGTGACGGCCTTAGTGTCACTCCTCTGAGAGCCAGGGGAATAGATTTGGCCTGTCTTATAAAAACGATGCAATGAAGGCCTGGCACAGTGGCTCACACCTGTCATCCTAGCACTGTGGGAAACCGAGGTGGTTGGATTGCCTGAGCTCACAGGTTCAAGACCAGCCTGAGCCAGAGCAAGACCCCGCCTCTAAAAATAGCTGGGCATTGTGGTAGGTGCGTGTAGTCCCAGCTACTCAGGAGGCAGAGGCAAGAGAATTGCTTAAGCTTAAGAATTTGAGGCTGCTGTGAGCTATGATGTGAGAGCACTCTACTGAGGGTGACAAAGTGAGACTCTGTCCCAAAAACAAACAAACAAAAACTGGTGCAATGAGCCTGGAACCTTATTTCACTCCAGCTGGAATTCTAGTCTGACTAGTACCCATCAGGTTTCAATATAACCTTGAATGGTCTGGAGATAAGAACATTTCTCCAATGGCATTAAATAGTGAAAGATTAAAAACAAAAGAAAGTCAAGGGCACAGGGCTGGCTCAATAATTTTTTGAGTTGATTACTAAAGGAGAACTTTGAATTTATTTCTGATGTATTTTATTAATACTGTTAGAGGGTCGGCACCTGTGGCTCAAGCGGCTAAGGCGCCAGCCACATACACCTAAGGTGGTGGGTTCGAATCCCCAGCCTGGGCCCGCCAAACAACAATGATGGCTGCAACCAAAAAATGGCCAGACGTTGTGGCAGGTGCCTGTGGTCCCAGCTACTTGGGAGGCGGAGGCAGGAGACTCGCTTGAGCCCAGGAGTTGGAGGTTGCTCTGAGCTGTGAAGCCATGGTACTCTACCCAGCGGGATAGCTTGAGGCTCCGTCTCAAAAAAAAAAAAAAAAAAGAAAGGAATGCAAGGCATTAAATTAATGCTTTATTAAATCATCTCTTAGTTTTTTTTTTTTTTTTTTTGTATAGTGCCTTGCTGCAAGAAATCTTCTAAATTTTATGCTATAGAATTAATGAGGTTATCTTTAGTTACTTACTAAAAATATGCTTGGGTAAGATTCTCACCCCTTAAATTGTGGTACAATTATTTATATTTTCTTCTATTTATGGCATCATTTATTCTTACTAAAGTCAGGATTATACTGTATATACTGATGGCTCTCCAATTTCAGTGTGCTAATTTACAGAAAAGCTATTTAGTGGGTCTGGAGTAAAGCCAAAGTTTCTACATTTTTTAAAAGAGAAAAACTGATATATATATATATATATATATTTTTTTTTTTTTACAGTTTTTGACCGGGGCTGGATTTGAACCCACCACCTCTGGTATATGGGGCCAGTGCCCTACTCCTTTGAGCTACAGGCGCTGCCCTATATAAAATATTTAAATAACATTAATGTTGAATTTGTGGAAACAATCCAATCTGCCCCCACCATATTCCTTTTGGAATTGCAAATCATAATTCTAGAGAAGTAAACAAACTTACTGAAGCTTACATAGTCAGTTAAGCAGAAACTCTGTGTTCATGATTGGGTCCTATTTTTGAGACAGGATCTCTCTTTTTGGCTTGGGATAGAATGCAATGGCATCATCATAGTTCATAGCAACAAGTGATCCTCCTGCCTCAGCCTCCCCAGTAGCTGGGACTATAGGTGTCCACCACCACACCTGGGTAATTTTTCTATTTTTTTTTGAGAGACACGGTCTTGCTCTCACTCAGGCTGATTGGGTCATATACATATATATATATATATTTTTTTTTTTTTGAGACAGCATCTCACACTGTCACCCTGGGTAGAGTTATGGCATCATAGCTCACAGCAACCTAAAACTCCTAGGTTCAAGTGAGCCCCTTGCCTTAGCCTCCCAAGTAGCTGGGACTACAGGCACCCACCATCATGCCTATCTAATTTTTCTATTTTTAGTACAGATGGGGTCTTGCTCTTTTCTTGCTCCTGAGCTGAAGTAATCCACCCACCTCAGCCTCCCAAACTGCTAGGATTACAGGTATAAGCCACCATGCCTGGCTTGGGTCATAATTTTTAATACCTGTTAACTACTATTTGTATTTGTAGCATTAACAGATCAATAAAGCAAAATCATAGGATTTATAAAGGTAATTCAATAGAGGAATTATAATATCTGCTATATATGTATATATTCGTATGTATGTATACTATTTTAATGTCATATAAAGTACTTTTGCATGTTTATTGGTGATACGGAGTAGTATAAAAGTAGAATGTCCTAGTTTGAGCCTAAGTTTTATTTTCTTTTTAAATTTATGCAAGTTGAACAAGTCAGCTGAACTGTAAGGCAAGCCTTCCAGAAGTCCCTCAGAGAGAACACACTGTAAGGCAAGTTGGGGAATTAAATTCATAGTTATTCTTGGATATTTGGGAGAGAGGTTCCAATTCTACACACACAGCCTGGTGTCTGGCTCACAATTGTCTCCTAGCCCATGTCCCAGAGGACTCATGCTTGAGTCCAGAAGAGAAAAGACAGGCTTTTTTTTTTTTTTTTTT